TACATTATCTTTTACCCTTTTAAAAACCCAAATTTTTAAAAAATTTTATTTAACCTTTCTATTTTTTCAGAAAATTTTTAAACCCCCTACTTTACAAAATAAATAGGACAACAAACCTTTAAAAAAATTAAAAAAATTTTTTCCCGGGATTTCCAAGGGTTTTTTTGGGAAAAAAAAAAAACCAGGGTTTTTCTTTTCCGATAAGCCCCTTTTTACATTTTAAATAGCCACCGCAGAAAAATATACAAGTCCAAAAAAGTTAAAATAATTTTCAATTTTAATAGTTTTCTCCATCATACTTAAAACAATAATTAGTGTGTCTGTTGTTTCCACCTTTCTTGAAAATCATAATTTTTGTTTTAGCAATATTAACTTTAAGTTTCCATTTATCACAATAAGTCTTAAAATTATCCAAAGATTTTTGTAAGCCCTCTTCAGTTTCTGAAAAAATCACTGCATCATCTGCAAAAAGTAATAAATAAATTGATAGTTGATCTAGAGAAATACAGGCATTTGGATCTTGTTGTAAATGTAGTTCTACATCGTTTATAAAAAGAGAAAAGAGCAGAGGAGACATTATCTCCCCTTGCAATAATCCTATATCACAATCGTACACATCGGATAACTGATTCAAATGTTTAACACACAATTTAACATCATTATAAAGTGACCGTACAACATTAAATAATCTACCACTAATCCCCATTTTAATAAGTTTAACCCAAAGGCCATTCCTGTATATTGAATCAAAACACTTTTGAAGATCAATAAAACAACAGTACAGTTTAGATCTATTTTTCAATTGTTTTTCGATAAAGGAATTCAATAAAAATATTGCATCTACAGTACTATAATTAGCTTTAAAACCAAACTGTGCATCAGTAACAATATCATTCGCAATATACCATTTCTTTAATCTTTCATTTATAACAATAGTGAATAATTTAGCAAAACAACTAATAAGCGCAATACCTCTATAATTATTTACATTAGCATTATCTCCTTTTTTGAATACAGGTATAATGACACCTTTAGACCATGACTTTGGGAAACATTGTTTATCAAGAATATAATTAAATAAGATCTCTAACGGTTTATCTAAAACATCAATACCTTCTAAAAAATACTCATATGAAATATTATCTAAAGAACATGCTTTATCCCTGCCTAACAATTTAATAGCACTCCTTATTTCATCTAATGTAAACGCTTCATTTAATTCTTCAAACGATGAGTCAGCAGAAACATGAGAATCAAAATCTTTTAAAAAATCTATACAATCTTCATCCTCATCAATTTTTAATTCTGAGGTCAATTCTTTAAAATGTTCATAAAAATCATTTGTGTCAATAGATTCGCTACAGTCAGAATTATTTTTTGATTTAAACATTTTCCAGAATTCTTTTGGTTTTTTATTTTTCATTTCCTCCATTTTTAATGATATACTTTTTAAGTATTTTTGTTTGGTCACTTTACAGCAGTATTTATAATCTTTTTTCTTACTAAACAAAAATTGTTTATTTTCATAACTTCTCTCTTGATTAAATTGTGATAGTGCTTCTTTATAGCTTTCTTTTTTGCTCCTACATATATCATTAAACCATTTATTTTGATTAAGCAAAGAATTACATTCATTAAAATGTGTTTTATTAGGCATTTTACGATGTATTTCAAAATACTTATTTCCTCTGCCAGTTATAAATTCAGATACAAGATTGACCAAAGAATCCGTACTTTGGCCGCTGTCTTTATACGCGTTTAAGTTAAAACATAATTCATCTACATCGCGTGAAATTTCACTCAAAAAGTCATTTTTAAACTCAGGGTTCCATTTGTGAAAAACACGCTCGTTATTTTTCTTATCATGTGATGCGCTATTCGCACGTAGTGAAAATAATACAGGCGCGTGATTGGAATACATCGTAAAATCCTGTACATTGAAATAGGAAATATTACAAAAATTACATTTATCAGTTATCAGTAAATCAACAAGACTTTCACCATTATGTGTATAGCAAGTGCATTGACCCATATTAGCATCTTTACTAATACGGCCATTTACCACACGAAAGTCTAATGCTTTACATAAATCTAACAAAAGATCGCCAAAGCGATTTGATCCTTGATCAGTCGTTGCACGTGGTAAATGCTCGTCCACTGAAAAATCCGTAATATCTCGTAACTGTGAATCATTTTCTATAAAGTCCATTTTTTTACCAATTCGTGAGTTTAGATCGCCAAATACATACACCTGACCTTTATCCTTGAAATAACGAATATCAGCCTCAATTTTTGAGAATATATCAAAATCATAAATAGTGTGTATAGGCGAATTTTCAGGGGCTATATAAGTAGAACAGAGATACATATTGCTATCAATGTTAAAAAATGATGCATCTAATTTGAACCACTGTATACAATCAACGTCATTTTTCACTAATTTAACTCCTTTAATGATTGAGTTTTTAACATATGTCAAAATTCCTCCACTATTTCTTTTCGCTCTTTTATTTTGGAATTTTCTGTATGAGTGAAACAATTTATATCCATTTAAGTTAATTTTAGAATTTTTACTTGTCCATGTTTCGTTTAAAAATATCAAATCATACTTATCAATGAATTTTATAAAATCGGGGCATGCTATTTTCTGTTGGGTTAGTCCCTCGATATTCCAAAATAAACACTTTATATCACTCCCACTATTTTCCTAAATACGAGTAGCTCCACTTTTGTTTTCCCTGTATAATTCAACGTTGATGTAAAGCTTGTCAATACGGATGAACGCTTCATTGCCTTGAGAGCGCGCCTCAAGCATAATCGGGACGAGGTGCCTCCTGGTCTCTACAACTTCTTTCGGATATTGTTGGCTTTAACGTTAACATTGCGACAATTAACGGCAAATGATTTTGCGACATTTAGCGGCAGTTGCGACATTTAGCGGTGTTGGTGCGACATTTAGCGGTAAGTGCGACATTTAGCGGCGTTGCGACATATAACGGCGCCACAATGAGGTCAATGTGATAGATCCAGATGTATGGTTCTAGGAAATAATAATGAGTAAATATTTTTTAACTACTTTTTCTTAAAAATGTCCATGGATCCATGTTATATTAGTGCAAAATATCGTTATCATGAACTATGAGTATTTTACATAGGGATATATATATGTACATCACTTCTGGTTTGAGGTCGCACCGGCATAACAGGTAGTAACTCTTGACACATGTATGGTTCTGGACTTTGTAAGGGTTATACATTGGTAATTACCGATACTTTAAATTTACGCGTACATAATGAAAAATAATCTTACTTAACTTTGTACTACGTACATGATCAAATATTAAAATTGGCAAGACCGTGATTATGTTGGCCACTGACCTTTACCAAGGTTTCTCTTGGTAATATGATATACCTGACAATCTCTTTCACGAAATTCCAACAGTCAATTCTTCTCCCACTTCTGTAAGCCACTAGGGTCTTGCTGCAGGACTCTTGCGCCTTTGTCTGTCTTGATACTACGGTAGAGGGCACACTTGTTTTCAAACATACTGGTGGTGGATTCTGTCAAGACTTATTTATACAGGTCGTTGGCAAAGAGGCGAAACTAGAGAGGATCAGTTTTTTAATCACTTGACGATACTTGTCGTCAATTATAATCAAAATTCACGTGTTGTTTTTATTTTTAAAACATAAATGCACATTAATCAGACATTAATATATATTCTTACTGTTAAATCCAACCAGTTGCAGTTCAAATATTTCGAAATGTTCAATGCATGTATATTGTTATTTCAGAGTTTGTTCTTATCTTTACATTCATTTATCATTAAAACGCAATACATTGCGAAGTTTACTGGAAATGAGAATATTGTACGTATGTTCGGTCAGTTAATATTTGATATTTCACGTCTATGAGGACGGATTAGAAGAAAGCAAGAAACAGATGTGTAAGTTATTCCTGTTTAGTTCGAAATTATATCAAAGATATTTTTTTCTACATGCAAACCAATGAAATTGTACCGCCAGTACTTTAGTATTGTTTTAAAGGCCCATTATGCCCCAGCAAGACTTTTATTAGCGTTTTGTTACAGTTTCCAAAAGATAATTCATTGGCAAATCAGTCGAATCATATTTTGCGTCTGTTGGTTTCTTGCAATTAGTTCAGTTATAGTAATTTATTATTTTGTATGGAAGTCAAAATAGCACTTTGTTTACATTTTGATACTTATATGACAAATAATTTCACATTCATGGCTACTTTCTTTAGGTAAGATGCATCTAATATGCTATATAGCCATTATTCAATCATGTTTTTTTTTCTCTTCTCAAAACTTGTTGTATTTGGTGTACTTTTATAGTTTCCAAAAAAGTTATTCACTGGCCAATTACCTGAATCATTTTTCTTCATCTATTGCCCAGTTCTGATGGTTTCATTCCTTCTCAAAGAGGAAATGGCGAGGCTTATGTCGAATGATTCATTACTTTAGCCGCGTCATGACAAAACCAACATAATGGGTTTGCGACCAGCATGGATCCAGACCAGCCTGCGCATCTGCGCAGTCTGATCAGGATCCATGCTGTTCGCTTACAAACTCTATAACAAGTAGAGAAACTGATAGCGAACAGCATGGATCCTGATCAGACTGCGCGGATGCGCAGGCTGGTCTGGATTCTTGCTGGTCGCAAGCCCATTATGTTGGTTTTGTCGTGACGCGGCTCACTTTGACTTTTTTTAGCATACTTTAAATGTGCGATGTGACAAAAGTGCTAATTGTGTGGAAAATGAACCAGTAAATCATGCTAGTTTTAGGGATCAAATAATCTACATCTGGGAACAGAAACTTTTATATACCAAAATGTTCGCAACGTTTCGCAGAATATGAAACGAAATTTCGTTTTGTATTTTGCGAACCCTTGTGAACATTTTGGTATATAATAGTAACTGTTAAACTAGACATAGGCCGGTAGGGTCCTTCTAACCAGTCTTAGTGTCATACACTATAAATATAAATACAAGGTAAATATTTGTGGCGTTTTTACTCATTTATTTTCTGATATTAATATACAACGTCAAAGCGAAGAAGGTTAATCTCTGATTACACGTCTCATTCTTGTGAAGTGGTTATAAACATTGACAGCAATAAGATCTAGTACTTCAAAAAATGTGAGAACACTTGCCCCAGCAAATAATCCTAGATATCCCCCAAACGACGCTGAAAGATGTACATCAAAGAAATTTATTATTAAAAAGAATATCTAAATAAAACTTTCACAGGTTTAGCTAAATTCGTCCTTTGATGACATTCATACATACATACAGCATGTATGACAAACGTTGTTTACTTAATGCAAGGACACTTGTAACGATATTGGTTTACACGTGTACATGAAACTAAATGATTGCATTTCTGAAAACGTTGAATGAAAATATGATAGAAAAGCCTTTTTTCCATAAGTGAATAATGACTAGTGCCTAGGGAATATCCGTATTAACTAAATATACTCTATCTTATCCAACTAATTAAAAACAAAGATCAATGTGCTCAATATAAAGTCATCCTAAAGTATAAATATTGCCCATATTTCACTGCTGTTATGATTATAATGTATCCAAACGCAATCACGAATGTGTACTCTCAATAGATATATCTTAGAGAATATATTGAAGTGATACATGTTATTTTCTTCATGTCAAACGTACAGAAACACGTGGTTTCATTGACCTGCAGGTCACCTGATTTGGTACTTAATTAATGATTCTAAACCTTATTACCCGGAATCTGAATTTCATATATCACATAAAGATTCACTTACCCCAAATATCTTGAAAAGTAAATTCTAGAATCTGATCAGTAGACGTAACTTCCAAAGTCTCGTAGAATATTTTCAGAATGATTATATTTTCCCTGAAAAAAAAGTATAACTGGTCACTTTTCAAACTCATTGTTCACTTACGCGGACACCTTGTATATCAATGGAAAAGTACAGTAGTGTCTTCCAGGCAAGATTTTTGTACTTTTACACGTACAACTTCTATTTTATATACACGTACAAAATCTCTTTTATTAAAATCAGCTCATATTGAAAGAGTGCCTTTAATATAAGAAAAGATCTCGCCCGTTACACGTGACTTTTTTGTGAACTGCGTGACTAAAGACGGGTTCCCACATTATTTAATAATATTTCATTAATTTTAAGGGATATAGTTTAGAAGCCGTTCTTTCGAGTGAGTAACTTATACATGCACTCTTTCTTAAGGAAAAAATGTGTAAAATGAAACTACGTTGGAAAATTTCTGACTGTTTAAGCACGAAGTTTCAGTATACGAAATAGTTTTAAAAATCCTTATAACTTAGGTAACATTAGTGACTCAATAATACAGGTCGCATCTATAAAATATGTTATTTACAAGATTTCATAAATTCAACAAAAAACGAAAAAAGTGCAATATATGATTGATAAATTTTAGCTATATTCATGAAAATTATAAATTATGATATCAATTATAATTATATAATTATGATTATTTGAATATCTGGTGTCATTTACGTAATTGTAACTTAATTATTAATAATAGCTTACTTTATTGTATCTACAGTTCCGGTCTGTAACTCTTTGTGTAAAGCTGTGTATGCCTTTTGTGGTAAGGGCATGGATGATACTTTTGTCTGGTATTTAGTGATATGGCAAGGTGTAGAGCAGTGACAATTCTCCATCTGAGTCGTGAACAACACTGAAACATATACAGGTTCAGTAGTGTGCTTTTCAAACAAACATGGTTGATTTCATAGAGTTTCATTAAAGTGACATTATGCTCTTTTTTTCTTTGTCAAGTTGTGCTGAATAGACTTTTTATTTCAACAGATTGATTATTATACAACAGTTGATAGTGTAAAATGTTTAGTATACAATATAAATCTGTCTTAAATATAAAAATACTGCCCCACTCCTTTTTTATAGATTGAACAGTACAGGTAAATTCGAAATTAAGATATTTACATGAATTTTATTGGGCCACATGAGTTATTTATCGTTCATGTGACGTAAATTATAAAATTAAAAGGAATTTTGGCAAACTATAGACTTATATTGACATCCAACAGTTCGATCCCTTGTATGGACATAATGTTACTTAAATGCTTTCATTTTTATTTCTCAAAACATTTAACATTCTCTAAACCCATGTTTTAAATGTTATAAAAATCATTTTTGGCCTTCCTAAAGAAAGGAAAAAAAAATCTTTTCTGAGGCATAATTTTTGTGCCTTTTAAGATTACAGATTTTATAAATATTTCCTCCGAATCATCTGTGGGGAACTGTCAATTACTTTACTTAACAGTCTGTTAAGAGATATTAAATTTCAACTTTAATGGTCAATTATATGTTATCAATACAATATGCTTTTTGACAATACATATGAGCCGTGTCACGACAAAACCAACATAGTGGGTTTGCGACCAGCATGGATCCAGACCAGCCTGCGCATCCGCGCAGTCTGATCAGGATCCATGCTGTTCGCTTACCAAACTTTATTACAAGTGAAGAAACTGACAGCGAACAGCATGGATCCTGATCAGACTGCGCAGATGCGCAGGCTGGTCTGGATCCATGCTGGTCGCAAACGCACTATGTTGGTTTTGTCGTGACGCGACTCATATGTCGTTGGTGACATCATCGTTTTTTTTTCTCAATATTATAGTAAATATCAAAATTATTTAGATATCACAACTATCTTAATTACGAATCTAGTTTTATTTAATATTAAGTAATGCGTAAGCTTAGGAACTGTAAAATAACAACAACAACAATAACAAAAACAATAATAATAATAATAAAAACAACAGTAAAAATTACTTACTTAAGGTAGGATGATAACAATCAACAATTTCGTAGGCGTTACAGTCACGGTGATTATCTGAAATATATGAAAACATAAAATAAAACTACACTAACTTGAACTAGAAGTGTGCCAATCAATAAAGACACATTTCTTCGGATTATGTTTCCGGAATTCTTAAAAACTTTCAGTGGCGGTAGAATTAAGATTAACTTATATTTTCCTTACCATTTTATTGAATTATGATTTTATTCTTGTAAAATATTCATGGCATAGGACCATTACAAAATATAAAAATAACATGAAATACAGCTTTTCCTTTTGTATAATACATGTATGTCTTTTCATTCATTTTTAACACCGCCAACGTGAATACTCATTAACAAAGTAGACTGAAGTATTTTAAAACAAAGATCAGACATATCAAACATTTTTTAAAAAAGTAGGGGGAAAAATTAAATTTAAGAATATCAATTTTTTAAAAACACGAAGGGCCAAACTAAAAAAATTAAAACTGCACGTTTTATTATCGAAATAACTAGCAAAAGCCACAACTTTCCCAACTTTAAATTTCCTGCCTACAGTGTCTTACACCCGGGACCCCGGAAAAGGTTTTTCAATCCTCCTTCTTTTTATCTTTACAATCTGTGTCCCAAAACCGCAACGGGTTTTTAGGTAACTTACTAAAAAAAAATTTTAAAAAGTAAAAAAAAAATAAAATACCCGTTTGGGAAAAAAAACATCGATTTTGATTAAAATTTGTTGGTCATAACCCCCCCAAAACCCCAACTAAATTAACATTTAATAATTTAATTTCTACTTTGCACCCCTGTAGAATCAAAATTACTAAAAAGTTTTTTTAAAAGATTTATAACTTTTTTGGGACATTTTTCCAAAACACCGTCTTCATGATAAAGTAGGGCGCCAATAAGATGACATCAAGCCCCCCCCCCCATTATGCGACAATTTCGCATGAAAACGTTCAATTTTAGCATAATAAAAAAAAATCAACGGATCCAAAAAAGCGCACCAAAGATAAGCTTATTGTGCTAATTGAAATGGAATTTTGACAAAAAGGAGTCTACCGAAGTGCTTGACCAATATGCTGGGTACACAAATACCAGGTCCTAATAAATTGGAAGAATCCATTGCCAGTTCAATCTTCATTTTTTACATGCACTGAAAAACCTTTAAAAACATTAAAATATATAATCAGGAAAAGTTAGTTACCAATTTCTATATCAATAAAATCATATTTTGAAAGACAGTTAACAGTTTTTCGTAAGTGATATCTTATTTTTGTATGCATAGAATTAGGAGAATAAAACTTAAAATTTACGATGTTCAACTCTTTTTTGCATGCATGTTTAAGGAAACTTCTCCGAGACTATATTTCCGCGAGCATTTGAAATTACGTTTTTAACATATCTAAAACACAAGGACATTTTTTAGTTTATGATTGTTTTTTTCTTTCTTAAAAATTATCGTACATATAAAACTTTGCAAAGCAATCTTCATTTATGAATATAATAGTATATAATGGTATATAATGGTATATAATGGTAAATCAGTGATCGTTATCACACTAAATTTTAAGTTATAAATCAAACCTTTATCGCATAATTGTCATAACCGGCCCCGAATGAGTTATCCTGGCCGTACCATAGCTTGATCTGTAAACCGAACTTTTCACCTGTCACCGATGTCTGCAACGAGCCTTTCTTTAAACTGAAACATAAGCCACTTTCGAGCAAACTATTTTCAAAATATTCACTGCAATTTAAAAGCATTGCACCCCACAAACACTCTAGGATAAAATCATCCAGCTTGATAACGCGCCCACGAATCAAATTACTAATATTTGTACTTCTCAAAGTATCTTCTCCATAATTTGTTAGTAAGAAAGTTTTGTTTGGTGTCGTCTGCATAAAGGCTTCCAAAATTTTACGTTCTGTATCGTTGATTACAGAATCATTCCGAATAAAGTCACTTTTACAAATGGTCACAGATGGGAAAGGTAGTTTTGCGTGAATCTTAGATGTTTGGAGTGTCAATGCGCTATATTTCAGATATCGATTTCATCTGTGCCTGTCCATATCCAAGCCAAGTTATGACAGAAAAATCTCAGCATTATCACAAACCAGACTGATCTGAAATAAAATTTTTCAAAAGATGAATGAGAGATCCTTAAAGGTGTTTTATGAAAAATCAATGATTTACTCCGATCGGTCTGTAAGTGAAAGAGTGAAAAAAAAAAAAATAAACAACCTAGTGAAAGAAACGTAAAAACACCCCAAAAAAAATGCCTTCATGTGACAACCCTCAGGCGTAAGTTAAATCAATCTAAAAACATTGTTTAATGATTTACAAAAAAAAATAAATCCGAAAATAGTTACAGCTATGGTGTTTAGAGTTGTTTTTCCGCTTAGTTAAATGAAAACATATACATTATGTATAATGTTCAAATCCATTCATTACGTGTGTTTACTTGCAGGTTTTATGTGCTCTATTTTTTATGAATTTACAATTTCAACTTTATAAAATACTAGTATGCAATTGCATTAGAATTTCAGACATAAAATGCAGAGAAGTTAACAGTCTTGACACCGAAATTACAGAACAAAGCTAGCCAAGTTGTTTGGTTTGTTTTTACTAACACTTTAACGGTATACATGAGCCTGAAGTTTAGTCATAGGCTTATATCTCACATAATGCAGAATTTGCAGATATGACCATCGACCTTCTATAAGGCAAACATACAACTGGCATCAACTGATTCAGTGTAAGTAGCATTATCCGTGACCGTAGAGGAAAAAAAGAATCAAATTTGGCAAAAGAAAAATAACACACGCACGCACGCACGTACACACACAAAATAAATGATAAATAATTCACCTTCGAAACACAGTGCTATTACGGTCAAAAACGAATCTGATACCGTGAAAGGTTGTGATATCAGCCCACTCGTGCAATGTGTCCCAGAATTGTTCTAGAGTTTCGTGCTTCTTCGGGATGTTAAAATCTTCCACCTGTTCCTTCGTCGTCTCTGTACGGATATTTTCATTTAAATCTCTGGGATTATCGAGTTCCTTCATCTTATACGTCCCGCTACATTCAATCGGTTGTTCTTTACTTCCAGACGACATTTGTACTTATCTATAAAAAAACAGGTAGGAATAAATGATAAAGTGATACAGAAATTGACAACTGATGGTGGTGTTTGTAGTTTATTCTCCAGAGCATAGTTCAACCTGAGCACCGTTTCATAGCAAGCTGTAAAGCAGTTTACCCTCACCTTCGCAAGAACTGCTAATGCCAGGAAGAGGTACAGTGTATGGAATTCGTAATCAATCAACGAATGTGACCTGCATCCTTACATGTCGCATTAATGTCGCCACAGTAAATATAAGTTCACAGATGTTTAAAATCTGTTACAATAATATATTGAAAATCTTTTATGTATCGTATTTGGTAAAAAGTCACCAAAACAAACAAAAAAGGTCATAAATGTACTTGCCAATAAATAAACTCCAGAATTAAGAATATGAGTGTGTGTTTTTTCCAAAGCTTATCCTCAAACAAATGTTCGAAAATAAGCGCAACGGGTTGACTAATCTATTGTGATGGGTAGTGCACCGTGAATCTATAACGGTAAAAGTTTGTTTGTACTTTCGGATTGGAATCTCACATTTGCCGAGTTCCGGATAACATGATTAACATCTATTCACAGAAGTGAACCACAAAATCAATTTGTCTAGCGACTTACTAACCATAAACACGATCAAACAGGTTTTGACGCCATTTTTATCTCGAGTAATGATACAATTTAAATTTATATACCTACCGACAGGTGACCATACAGTTGTAACAATCCATGCCCTCGAACGGTTAGAAAATATAAAATTTGTGGATGAACTATATTCGAAGTATAGTGAACTACAGCATGTGTTTTACTCGATCTTCTGGCGTCGGCATTGGCGATAGATCGATCAGTAAGGCATATACTTAATGAAAGTATATGGATCCACTGTCATCCTTTTAGCCACTTACAAAAAGTATAACACTAGCATTGCTTTTTACCGAATTAAGAATATATACACTGTTCCAAATGGCTTAAATTTTGCTTTGAGATTGGTATATAAGTTTTTAGCTTTCTAAACAGTGGTTGTCGGCTGTCGAGTGATCAAGAGAACAGAAGGACATTGCCTCTCATTTGTTTTTACTTTTTTGACTGCTGTAAAGATGGGTTCGATTTACTTGTACAGACATCATATCCCTTCTTCTGGATTACAGGATACACGTTTATAAATACGATATGAAGTCACAACACATAAAAAAATGTTCGTGTTACTGTTAGGCATGTACGGCGTTCCATATTTTACGTAGAGCTCTAACATTACAAGATTTTTTTCTATGGCTGTTTTACGGAATTCCATAAACGACAGCCTACTGCTCACTGCCTACTGCTAACTGGACAGCCTGCTGCTCTCCGCCTACTGCTTACTGCTTATTGACAGTCTAAGTCTATGTATGGATCATTTACGAAGTATATTCCGAATGTGTACAAACAAGTACGCCCGCCATTTTGATGGAAAAATCTGCTGTAGAATCAATTGTAAGTATATTAAAAAATGATTAATTTATAATAAAGCCTATTAATTTGTAATTTCGAATTCATTGCAATGAGTTGTTATACGTCCTATCGTCCCACCCTTAAACACACTGCTTTGGTTATGTTATGAAAATGGTTCCACGTGCCTCATTGCGCTGCGTGATTAATTAATTGTCAAATAGAGGACTCATTTTTAGGGTAATCAACTTATTTTTTAATTATTCACAAAAAATCGTGTCCAACATTGACGGGCTTTAGCCCGCTATGCCTTGGTTGGTAGTGACGGCCGACATCTGGACCATTATGTCCCAAGACTCCCTTGATTTTTGTTTTTAAAATTGCATAGTATGTTTAAACTTTCAAACAATAAATACATTTCTAGAAGAGTATCTTAATATACCTGGTGAAATACATTGGTTGAATTTTTTAGGCTAAACAAATTATTTGTTTGTCATAATCACAAGAGTTCTTTTGGGTTTCAGTTTTTCAATGGGCTGTTTTGGTTGTTAGCGTATAAATTCCTTATTAGATGTTATACATTTGCTTAAACTTTGATTGTACACTTAATATTTTTTTTTGCAAAAAGATATGTGCCCTATAGAAAACGTTTTTTATTCCAGTGACAGAGGATGAGGCATGGAGGATGGACGAAGTCTGACAGAATAATAAATCTGTCATATTTTCGGTTCGGTATCGGAATATCCGTCCCGAGGTGACCCCCCATTGGGCGTTTAACGAGGCTTGGCCACGGTTTACCGCCCATGGGCGGGTGACCGAGGGAAACGGATATTCCGATCCGAACTGCAAACATATGTCAGATATTTTTTTTCTTGCATATTCTACCATATTCCATTATATTTTAAATTCTTTATCTTTATTTTCAATGAAAATGTATATCATTACAACCGTAACTACTTTCATTCAACCAGCGTAAGAATTACAAAATCATTCATAACGTTTAAAAATGACGTCATCTTTATCGTGCCATTGTACAGCTAACGCGACTCATCTGGAACCCCCCATGCCAGATGAAATTTCCGCATGCGGTAAAACTAAAACGGAAACGCCAGTCTGATATGCAAGAAACATTTTTATGGAGGAACAGCGTATACAACTCCAATTTGACTTCACAGAGCCCAAGTAACAGAACCCAACACACCTGTGTTTAGAAATAATTGAAATTACAATCATGGAAAATTGAATGAGAGGACTACATAAATGTATTGCGTTCTTTTAGGCGAGTTTAACTCGGCTTCTGAAAGCATAACGAAGATAAACCTGGCTGTATTCAAATTGTTTTCAAAAAGGACAATATTTGATAAAACATAGAGTGCAATATATAAAGTGACAAATTCTAGTTTGAATCAGCTTATTTTACCTTTATGAAAAGCCATCGTTACCATCTTGTTTAAATTCAATTGCACTATTGAAAAACTCTGGGAAGTTATAGAATTTTAATTATATAAATTTACTGAAAAATTTACATTTGTGATAGACAAAATGGTCAGGTTATGTTATATTATAACTCTTTGACGTGTTTGTTTAATTTCTTTATATAATTTTCATGATTATCTTGTCTGCTTTAAAAGTGAACTTTTAGGGTGATTATTTTTTCTATTTCTTTTTACAATTACCGCAAATGAAACCAATGAGAAAAATCTGCTTTCGTATTTGCCAGAATGATCCAGTGAAAGTTATTAATATTTTGTCAGGGTTTGACAACTAAAGTATATAGTTCTAAGACATCGTGATAGTGTAGAGTTTCTATGATGTGATATAAAGCATTTTTGAGTTACCTTTCTTATTTCGTGTATAGCACTTTAATTGCAGAATATATTTACATTGATATGATATTCATAACAATTTATATTATTCATAACAGAACTTTTAATTATAATTCCCCGAAACTTTGCAAATATTTTTAAAGATACGGATTTTGTACAGGCGTCTCCTAATTTTCATTTAAAATAACAGTGTTTACATGAAAAATATCAGCTTTTTACAGGTCTGAGGTCTCATTATTGGAACAAAACATTTTTTTTACTTTCTATGTGGTGTTATAATTTGTTTTTCGTTATTGTAAAATAAAAAAAAAAAGTTTTTTGAAAATTAAATATCATAATTTTCTTGTAATGTTGTTTATGTTTAGCTCCCCGGAAAACATGATATGTCTAAATTTACTGTTAAATGCAACTTAAACACACATGATGCCTATATATATTGTTAACCATTAAAGCAGAGTTTGTTTGCTGAATGTTTGCTGTAACCTGGCCATGTTGGGTAACAATATTCAACATTGTTCACATTTAAAAAAGTGTCTTAGTTAATCAATTTTAATTTCATGTGATCGCGGAAAAGTATGTAATAGGAAGATGAAGATCATATAATAATATTAGTTCCATAAGAAATCTTTGAAAATACATTCTGAAGCCGAAATATCTGGCAAGTTAACCGAATTTATTTCTTCAAAACAACTTTACAAGTCAACCTGAACATTCTTCTCTTAAGACAATGCAAAATAAAACGACGACGACGTTCAGCAATATATTCTCGTTTAATGCCTTCTTCACCAGTTATAAATCACACGCGTTGCATATCCAAGTAACGCAGGAATGTTTAGCCCAAGTAAACGTTTTTAAAAAGTAACACCGAATCTGTGCAACGCTTTTACCAAAAACGGATAACACAGTAAGAAAACGGAACCAAAATATTTATTCTAAATAAAAATTTAAAAAACGAATTAGCGCATACGGCTTCTACGACAGTTTACTTTAACCAGTATTACATTTTTTTCAAGTAATATGTTTACTTCTTTAGATTCATTCGTGAGAAAGACAACCTGATTACCATTTTGAAGGTGACTTTTGAGTTTCGTTTCAAATTTAAATATGTATTACTGTAACACATAAAACATAATTTTTCACATCTGCTATACCTAAGACATTTCACAAAACTACAAAGTGTCGTATAACCAATAGAAGGAAGCTTGTTAAAATAAGAATGAAATAACCGACGTTGCTTCAGTGCATAATTCACGAACTTCGGCATTACCTTTCTTAAAAACAGTCTCAATTACTTTTTATCTGCTCTTAAATTAAATGTAGTATGACACGAGTAGATTGGAAAATGTCTCGGTTCACCAAATAAAAAATCCTAAGTAATATGTACGTTTATTGTAACGAATCTTTTAAAAAATCGACGACGTCAGTACGCTGTCATGTTCGTCATTTTCACGAAAAAAATAACAACATTTTCATGGAAATATTTTTGATGAGATTTAAAGTATAATGTCTAAGCAACCGTATGCGCTGATTCATTTCGGTGTATAATAAAAAAAAAATACTGGTCCATTTACATATCGCGTTTGCCTCGTTTTTATCCACTAAATTGCACATTTCTGCGTTATTTGCACAATCATGCGTTACTGGATATACACGGTTGAATCAGAATGTAACATATGCAATACTGCAAAAGCTAAGACATATATGCGGAAGCATTACATATAATATCCGGTACGATGATATTAACATTACTTTGTATTAATAATGCCCCGTAACTCGACGATTCAAGTGTTTTTCTATGCATCCACTTCCCAAATATAACGCAATAATTGACATGTTAGTCACCATGCTTGCCTGTCAAAGAAG